CCGACCAATTATTAGCCAAATTACAACTGTCACCTACCCTGTTGCAAAATTCTTGAACAAAATTTTAACNCCATATATTCCAAACAATTACACACTACAATCTTCCCGTGAGTTTATTAATCTCCTCAGCATTAATAAACCATCCAAATTTATTGCCTCTCTGGATGTTGAATCATTATTCACAAATGTACCAATTCATGATACAATCGACATAATTATCAACACCGTTTACCACTCAGATATGGTTCCATTGAACATACCGAAAGCACAACTGAAGTCCCTTTTTCAAATTTGCACTACTGAAGCACCATTCCACAGCCCCACAGGCAAACTTTACAAGCAAATCGATGGTGTCGCTATGGGTTCCCCCCTTGGCGTCCTATTTGCCAGTTTTTACCTAGGACAGCTGGAGAATGAAACATTCAAAAACAATGCAAGTTTAAAACCAAATATCTACGCCAGATACGTGGATGATATCTTTGTCTCCTATAACGATCCTGAACAAATCACCCAACTTCTTGGTATCTTAAACAAATCAAAACTTAGATTTACCATTGAAAGTGAAAAGGAACAACGTTTACCTTTCCTCGATGTATTGGTCACCCGTGGCGAAGAACGATTCAAAACCGCGGTCTATGTCAAAGAAACGAATACAGGAATTTGTTTGAATGGACAAAGTGAATGCACTGAACAATTTAAAGACAGCACAATAAAATCATTTGTGAACCGGGCATTCACACACTCTTCCGATATTGAAAATCGCGACGCTGAATTAAAGAGGGTCACTAACCTGCTTGTAAACAATGGATATAAGACTTACTCTATTGAAAAGATTGTTAAAAACAAATTACTACACAGCAATAACCTTCCTAGTACCAACAATCAAGATAACGAAATCATCTTGTATTACAGAAATCACATGTCAACAGCATACAAGGTAGATGAAGCTATTCTTAAGCATATCATCAATAAAAATGTCACACCAACCAACCCAAATAGTTAAGTTAAACTCCGAATTTATTACAACAATAAAAAGACAACTGCAGTCCTAGAGATAACTCTGAGTTAAAGCGTAATCACGTAATATATGAATTTAATTGCCCCTTTGACGGCTGTGCACGTCAACATGACTCATATATCGGGATTACTACTACCTCACTGACTAGAAGGCTTACGATGCATAAACAGAGTGGTGCTATCAAATCTCATTTGGACTCAACACACTCAATCACAATTAGCCGTGAAATCCTCGACAGCAACACCAAAGTAATATACCAGAACAGCAACTACACGCATCTTAAAATTGCAGAAGCAGTCCTAATCGACATCAATAACCAAAAATAAATATACAACAAAAAATGACAACCTCACTTCCAACCCGGCGCTTAACCAACAACGAAAACAAAGAAGTAATAAAAACTAGCATCGTAAATAGTGACAAAGAAGAATATGATGCTATCGATGAAGAAAAGGAGACCAAAGAAGATGACCAGCCAATTAAGAAACCTGACACCTAATTCGCATCAAAGTTCAATTTTACAACACCAAAGTTAATTTTTACAACGTCAAAGTTAATCTTGACAAATCGGAATCGAAATATGGCCTTATTTGCAGCATGAATTCGAAAAATAAGTTTATTTTGAATTTTAATAAACTAAACGTTCACCAAAAAACTTTAGTGAGAAAAATCGAAAAAACGAACTACAAACATATTAACGCCAAACATTCGGTAGAATTTATAGAATATTGTAAAAATTATGGTCTATTACCAACATGTATATATATATTATATATATATATATATATGATGAAAATTTTTAAATGCAGCTATTTACTTTCAAACTTAAATCATATTTTGATGTTTTGCTCAATGGATGCACATCTCATCAAGCAACAGCAAACGCAATCAAAGTATTACAAGTCCAGAATCACAATGCTGCAGGCAACAATAAGAAAACTTATGAATGAATGTAATAAATTAAAAAATGAATTAGCTACATACAAAGGTTTTATGTTATGTAACCATAGCAAAATGAAATGAAATTTTGATTAATTTTTTGTTTTTTTTTTGCTTCTAGATAAAAAACTCGTACCATTTAAAAAGAGTTAACAAAGTATATAATGATAGTTGCAAGACCTTTTATATGCAGCTGCATTTTCATGGTCCTCATGCATACCAATTTTTAAGAAAAAGTGGACTAACACTGCCACACTCGAGAACATTGAACAAGTAAAATCTAGTTAATAATGATATTTTGTAAACTAATATTGCTATATAAAGAAATATGTACTGCAAATAAATAATCGCAAATGCTCTTTAATCCTTGATTCGATATCAATAAAGTCTCAAATAACGTATAATAAGAAAATTGGTAGGTTTTTTAAAATATATTTTGTTTGTAAAATTGTGAGTTTAAAATATAGCATATTTTGGTAGCATATGCTAGTTTATTCCTTGTGTATTTTATTTATTTCTTGATTTTTTTTTTGTTTCCCATTTCACCATAAACATTTGTTTTCAATTTATTTAATTTTATTGATGTTAAATGTTAAGCATAAATTATCAAACGCATTGTTTATTTGTGAAGATGACTTTATTGGATATGTTAACTATGGAGATGGGAATGAGGACATAGTTGCTTCAGAGATGTTGGTTTTTTATGTTGTTAGTCTGAGAGAAGCTTGGAGGCATTCAATAGCTTATTTTTATACAAATAAGTTATCATCTCACAAGTTGAAAGATTTTATAGAGAAAGCCATTGATAAGTTACATAATGCTGGAGTTAGGGTAAACAACATTTGTTTTTCTTAAAGATATGTTAAAATTTTTATACATTATATTTATTTTTTAGGGTTGTTTCACTGATAATGGATGGGTTGGCCACTAATGTTTCGGCATGTGGATTGCTTGGATGCTCTTTCACATTTCCAAACCTGCAAACAAGTTTCTTGTCCCCAACAACCGGCCAGAAAATATATATCATATTTGATGCATGCCACATGCTGAAATTAATGAGGAATATGTTTCATTCTTATATGATATTTTATAATAATAATCCAATCAAATGGAATCATATCGTAAACTTAGTTAACTATCAGCTAAAAATCAAAATGAAACTAAAAAATAAATTGACCAAAAATCGTGTAAATTTTGAAAAGCATAAGATGAAAGTTAAATATGCATCTTTAGTTGCTCTGCGGCTAAATCATTGGAACTCTTAAACGGATTTTATGTTTTTTTCTGACGTTTCTGAAACAATAGCTTTTGTGAAAAACATCAATGATCTTTTCCATATATTAAGCAGCAAACTGATTCTAGATAGAGAATGGAAGCAATCCATTACAAAGAGCAACCTGACAGCCACTATAGATAAACTTTATGAAATGAAAGCCTACTTAATAAGTTCGAAAAATAATTTCAAATAATTTCAGAAAAATGGCTTGGACAATTGACATATCCCTCAAAAGGAGTATTAAAAGTAAAATGATACATTTATTTATTTTCTGGTAAAAACAATAAATTTTAATGATTTTCGGATCTGCCAAGAATCAGAAAGATTATTAAAAATAAATAATTATTGTTTTAAGAAAAAACTTGTAATTGAAAGCAACATACTCCCACAATGTGTCAACGAAGATTTATTTAACATGGAAAGTCATTTCAATGATGTACAGAATGCAAACCACTATTATGAATTAATAAAAAAAATAATAACATCATGTACAACATTAAGACGTTTTAACTTAACTAAAGAGTTTTCTATCAACATGCAGTTTTAATAAAAGTAAATTAAATAATAAAATGGAACGAAAATTATACTATTTAAATTTATTAAATCAATTGTTTTATTGAATTTGTACAGTGCTTCTAATAGATTACATCAGAAGCAAATTCTACAACCTTTTATCTTTTTATATATATATTTTACTTTTCAAGATAGTTGAAAGATAAATTTATAATTATGTAAATCAAACATTTTGCAGTTATACAACAAATAAACAAAACCGAAATCCAGAAATAAAAAAAGTAGGACTGATCTAACTACGAGTTAAGTTAATTACTAATTATAGCAAGATAGATGTTTTATAATCAACAAGCAAGAAATATAACAATTTACACATAAATATAAAAGTATACATGTTCATGATCTAGCACCTTCGGGGTTATTTTATAAATAGTAATGTTAAACTAAAAATTATTAAACATTACATACCTATTCTATTAAAAATCAACAGTTTTATAAAATTTAATTAAATCAATAGCATAATGAATTTCATGTTAGCTTGATATTAATTAAACTTATTTTTTTAATATATCAATGTCAATTACAGTTAAAATTGTTAAGTTAAAGAATTTGATTTTAACAAATTATTATATAATTAATTTAATATATTAATAAATTATATATTAATCATAGCATTTAAAGTTAAAACAGAAAAAAAAGATTGTTTGCTTTTACTACCAAAAGAAATTTTAAAAACCTCCTCTGTGTGATTAAATTTGGTTTGGGTATGTTATGTTGAAAGCAAATATTCCTTTGTATTGTAAGCTCTGGGGTGTTGAAAGATTCTAGTTTAGGACATATGCACAGGAATTACATCTTAATTTAAAAATTATTAGTTGATTAATTTATTTATAACAATATAGTGAGTTATACTTTTTAAATATTAATAACATTTCATTTTTACAATAAAATTTTTACCCATTCTTTTTGTTTTCTAGATTCTAATTTAATTTAAGAAGGATTCTTACTCTAAGTGTCTAATCATCGTGATTCATGGGTGCTGGGAAAATGAATGAAGAAATCTTCATTTCAGAAAAACGAGGATCGCTAACGAACTTATTATAAATCTTCGATTTTTCTGATGCATCAAAAAAATGGCAATATCTATTTAACGATTAAATACGGCACCTTATAAAACCTAAAACTTCACGGAACGTTCAAAACGAAATAAATTTTAACAAACGAGATGAATGCAGATCGGCAAAGAGTCATTAACATAACTTCGGGAAGGCCAAGATTTTTTCTAATTATATCTCAGATTTTTCTAAAAATAAATCAAAATGCTCATGAATAATTAATTTTTAGGAACTTGCTTCCAGAGGTAACTTGCCCGTTGAAAAAAATTTTCAATGTTAAAACGCTGGTAGGGCGCTTCCAGTTATATAATTCCATGGGTGAAAGTAAGACAAGGATGTAATCTATCCGCAACACTATTTATTGTCTTGCTGGAAAAAGTATTCCAAGTCGCTCTGGAAAATATAATTTGATTAAATTGGAGTAAAATGTAGGCACAAAGCTAAACAATTTAAAGTTTGCAGATGATGTTGGATTACTGACAGAAACTGAAAAATATTTTACAAAACTTTACTCCAAGAGTCAACAAAGCAAATACTTGGATTAACTATTAACACAGAAAAAACAAATGAGATGGCAGTAAAATATCAGAAAAAGAGAAAACCCCAAATTAAACTAAATTCAGATGTACTGGAGATAGTGGAAAACTTTATCTACGTGGGTGGAAAAATGACAAGCACCGGAAGCTACCAGGAAGAAATAAAAAAGAAAAATAAGCATAGTTCTACAAACAATGAGGCGCTTAAAACATATATGAAAAGCGAAAGACATAAGTTTATCAACCAAAAGTAAGATATATGAAACCGTCCTTGTTTCACAGATGATATATGGATCAAAAACGTGGATAATTAAAAAGACAGACAAAAACAGACTTTTAGCAGCCAAAATAAACTGTCGGAGACAGATCGTGGGTATATGTAGAATCCAAATAATAAGAAACGACATCAGAATTAAACTTGGTGAAAAGAGCAACATAATAGAAAGAATCCGGGAAAAATGATTAACTTGGTTTGGACATGTAAACAGAATAAACTTAGAAAAATTACCATATAGGGCCTTAGTCAACCATGTAGACGGTAGGAAAAGAAGAGGTCATCCAAAAAAGACTTGGACTGACAACATCAAAAAAGACTTTATAAAAAACACAAACATCGCATAAGCCGGAAAATTTACAAAAGATAGAAGGTTCTATGTGAGTAGCTATTGTTGCCTTGGGCTGGCAGACAACTGATAATGATCATTATGGCACCCAGTTGCACATGGTATTATCGGCCGCTAAATGTTATATATTGTTGATTTCCTATATATGTTATATTCTATACATATGGGTATAATAACTAAGCCATATAGGCATATAAGTTGAGATACAAGTATATTTATTTTATAATATCATAGGGTAAGATATAATAATTATATAAGCACAACCTACACCTCAATGATTTGTACAAAGGGAGGCCTATTTACCAACATACAACACTTTTTTATGGGTTGAAGCTGGGATAGGCAAAGAACCTCAATTTTTTCAACTTTTAATTATTTTCGGTAATGTCGATTTTATTTTTTAAATTTATACCAAATAAAAATAATTAATTATCACATTAAATAACAACTAAAAAAATTTAAAATTTTGTTACAAATTGTAATGACTGAAAAATTGTTGTTAATGGTGTTATTCGAAGCTTTTTTACTTTTCGTTCTTGTCCTGTTAATTTTTCTGACTGAATAAACACTTTCAATCAATGTTTAAATTTTTATATTGTCATTTATTTTTCCGTTTTGTATATGTACTAATTCTCGTGTCGGATACAATAGTTTAGTTTTTAAGTAAATTTTCATTTTCGTAGCTACACAAACATGCCCACCTGTTGCATTATTTAAAATTGCTCCAATTTGATTTAATTTTCAATAGAAATAAAAAAATTTTTGATGCATCTTTTCACAGGTTTATTTCCAAATTTAACTTCACACTGAAATAAATGTAACAATATCCCTATACTCACTGAATAGAACTATTTTGTTTTACAATTACATATATTTTACTTTATAGACTATTATAATTTATAATGCTATCATGGATTACCATTTTATTATTAAAAGCAATACTTAAGAAATGCACAAGTTTCTGTAACAGTTTATAAAATTTCAGATTTCTTCAAAATGTAGAAATGCAAAACGATTGGATTTAGTAAGTGCATCAGACAGGAAATAAATGATTTCAAATGGCTTCCATAAAAAAAAATGCAGAAATATGCAGTGACCATTTCTGTAATAAAGATTATAAGGGTTATGATGGAGAAAGGAAGGTAGTGCTGAAGGAAGCATTCTCATGTTTTCAAGTTAGTTATATTTATATGTCATCAGTTACACAAGGAAGCAATTCACATCATCATTGTACATTGCAACATTCTTATCTATACAAAAAATATAAAATACATTCAACAATATTATCCATGTATTTTATTAAAACTTAGAAAGGGCATAATGACATTGTGAATAATAAACCCTGCTTAGGACTGGGATCATCATCATCATACCAATCACCATTACAAGTATTGAGTCAATTGGCATAATCAAGTTTTTTATATGAAATACACATCAAGTATTTAATTAATGTAACAAATAAATTAACAGAAAAATTTCTGGAAAAGTTTAAAAAAATTAGAACATATGACTCTGATCAAAATTAATTCGTGTTGACACTGCATTTGTATGGATGGGCCTAACAACAACAACAACACACGTTTAGACGACATTTTCCCCGAGATCGGGGGTTGCCGTTTGGCTACCTATGATGAAACCGAAATACCCCTCGACGCCATTTCATCATAAGTAATTTATTTGGCTAATTTTTACGCAGGACGCCCTTCCTTACGCAACCACAGTTATAAGCGGTGGGCCTAGCCTTTAATGATCCAACATCACTCACAAGGCAGTGAGGGTCAGTTTAATGTCATAACCAGGACATGGATGGGCCTAAGGCATATGATTATCTTCAGATAAATGGCTTACATCTTCCTCAAACTAGGACATTAAGAAAGTAATCTTGTCATACCTGTTCAATAATTTTAATAAGATTATTTTAAATAACTATTCTCAATGTCATTTTATTAACACTACATTATGAGGTGGCTACAAAACATTGATGGTACGCCTGGGGTGATTTCTACAAATCTTCTTGACTAATGGTGATGGGGATCCTCTGGAACTGAAGGATCATGAAATTCAATCTAGTCATGGATTGAGAAATTTACTACAATATAAGAATGAAAAAAAGATGTAGGTGTAAGGCAAAATCTTACTAGAACTATTATTTTTAGCAACTTATGTTTTATTTTTTATTTATGACTATTCATTTTCAATGATACCGATATTTTCAATTATTATTATCCAAATTATACACATGCCTATATAAATTAATTTGATTGTGGCTATTTCTATGCTTAATCATTTTTACTTGCCATAGGTATGCGCAGCATTTAGTAAATTAATGATAATTAATAACACAATATTCTAACTGCTTAAAGTATAATAAATTAAAAGTACAATTTCTACAAACCTCATTGGTTATAATGATGGGGATTCTTTAAAACTGAATGATCATGATCTAACAAGTCGTGGATTGATGAATCACTGGAATCACACATTATCTTTAATAAATTTAACACAGTATCTTTCGCAGGTATCTGGAAAAGTTGTGACAAGTGCTGATGTCCAAAACATAAAAACGTCAATGAGAGAAAAAAACAAATCGCAAAACCAAGTTGATAAGGTCTTATCAATTTTTCAAAAAATACCAGGAGCAACAGAATCATCATCATTGCCATGTTCAGAGCTTCTTTTTCCCCGAGCTTTTAAATCAAGAGGTCGACCAAAAGGAGCAACACTAACCTGTTTAGGCATGCCTTCAAAACATTGCAAATCTATATCTTTTGCTTCGAAGCCAACAAGAGAAAAGCAAAAACTGATGTTACAATGGTTATTTGGTAGTGGACAAGATTATAATATTAGCAATATTCAATCAGTACCAAGTCAGTTCTTAGATGGACAAGTACAAGAATGTCTATATTTATTGAAAGATTTTTTAGATCTAAATGTTTTGAAAGAAATGATAAATAAATGTTCCAATGAAGAATGGATGTGTGGAACCTGTAGCAATGATCTTAGGGATGTTCGAAGTGTTTCCTGTGATTCCTGTCTCAAGTGGTTCCACTTTTCTTGTGCAGGCATCAAAAGGCCTCCAAGTAAAAAAGAATGGTTTTGTAAAGCATGCAGGAAATAATAGCTGAACAATATAATAAAACATTTTATGTATGACTGTATATTATTGGATATAAACTATATTGTAGATTAGTGTATATATTTGTATTTTGTCGTCGTAATTCCTTTCAATGTTAAATAAATACAATTCGCCTGAAACGTTTTGAAAGTTTAAAAACTCATCCGGCAATTCAAAGTTGTATTTAAAATTAATCGGATAAGTGACATTTCTAACAATTTATGTATTTTCCTAAATGTGCTATAAAAAAAATTTAGAAATTATAATTAAAACAAATAAGCAGTACAGATATAATATAATAAATATGTAATCTGTAAAAAAAGCAACCTGTAATTATAACACATAAAAAAACATTCAAAATCAATTAGATTCACTAGAAGCGAATATTTATAGA